CCCTCAGCTTCCGAGGGCTGAGGCCCCGGGAGTCTCAGGACCAGGAGGCCACCAGCTTCACCGAGTACTCAGAGATCAAGATCCACAAGTGACAACCTGCGACCTCCAATAGAGCGAGGGCCTCCCTGGGGAGGGAGATGTCGGGGACAGTTCCTGAGTCACTGTCCTCCGTGTCAACAGGAGACCTGGTAGCCTGTGGGCGTCTCCCTCGTGGTGCAGGCAGAACGGGCCTCACAGTTCAGCCCCGCCCCAATCGAGAGCCCGAGTGCGAAGACTGCACTGGCAGGGACCGTCTCTCTAGTTTGTTACTGGAGAAGTTTCTCTAAACACGGAGAGCACGAGACACAGGAGGAGGAGGCGCAGTGCGCTCTGGAGCGGCAGCCGCTCTCCGCGTGGCCGTGTGGCCTCTGCTGTTCAGCGTGGACGATCCTGCTCCTCCTTCGCGAGAGACACGGGGAGAGGACGCAGTCTGAGTGGTTCCCATTTTCACATTTAAAAAAAAAAGGCCTGAGTTTGAGCAAGTTATTTTACTCCGCGGCGTCCTCCTCTGTAACTGGACCCGGTAAGCGTAATTCGCAGGGCTGTGGCGGGGCAGAAAGGAGATGATTAACGTGAGGCATCTGCAGAGAGCGCCTCACCCCACACACCCCTTCCCAGAACAGCCCGCCTCTGCCCCACCTGCTTCCTTCCCTCCATGCCACAGGTATTTTTTCCAGACTTTTTGAGGTATAATTGACAAATAAAAATTGAATATACTTACTGTGACCCTCGTGACGTTTTGCTGTATGGATACGTTGTTAATGATTACCAGGAACTAGCTGGCCATCCCATTCCGACTCCTCCACAGTTATCATTTGCGTGTGTGCGAGATCACTGACCATCGACTCTCTTGACAGATGCCCAGTGTGCAATAGGATACTGTTAACTATGGCCCTTGTGCCGGACAGTCGACCCCCAGAACTTACTGATCGTGTAACTGGAAGTTTCCACCCTTCGACCAACACCTCCCCATACCCCTCTTCCTCTAGCCTTTGGCAACCATCATTCTTATTCTACCCTCTGTTTCTATGAGTGTGACTTGCTTAGAGCTCACATGTAAGCGAGATCGTACAGTATGTGTCTTTCTCTGTGTGACGTATTTGACTTAGCCTAATGTCCTCAAGGTTCATTCACGTTGTTGCAAATGACAGTCCTTTCTTTTTATGGCTGGATGATATTCCACTGTGTGTACGTATGTACGTATGTTTGCGTGGGGGTGTGGGTGTATACAGTTGGTGCTTGACCAGCACAGGTTTGACCTGGGTGGATCCACTGACACACAGATTTTCTTCTGCTGTGCCACCCCTGAGACAGCAAGACCAATCCTTCCTCTTGTCTTCCTCCTCCTCATCCTCAGCCTACTCAATTCGAACACAATAAGGATAAAGACCTTTATGATGACCCACTTCCACTTAATGAACAGTAAATATATTTTATCTTTCTTATGATTTTTATAACATTTTCTTTTCTCTAGAATATAGTATATAAGACATATAACATGCAAAATATGTGTTAATTGACAGATTGTGTTATCCGTAAGGGTTCCGGTCAACCATAGGCTATTAGTAATTAAGCTTTGGGGGAGCCAAAAGTTATGTGTAGACTTTCTTTTTGTTTCTCTTTGTAAATGTTTTTTGTTGATACATAATATTTGCACGTATTGACGAGGTACCTGGGAGACGCTGTTACATGCATGTAATGTGTAATGATCGAGTTGGGGTATTTAGGATATCTGTCACCCGGAGTACTTACCATTTCTATGTGTTGGGAACATTTCATGTTGCCTCTTTTAGCTATTTTGAAATATACAATACGATGTTGGTAACTGTATCTACCCTACTCAGTCATTGAACATCAGTTCAATGTGTTTGTCTTCTGTGGCCTTTATTATCTTAAGGTCTGTTCCTTCTATGGATAGCGTGTTGAGAGTTTTTATCATGAAGGGATATTGAATTTTATCAAATGCTTTTTTCTGCATCAATCGAGTTGATCATATGGTTTTTGTTCTTCATTCCGTCGATGCGACATATCACGTTTATTGATTTGTGTTTGTTGAAACCTCCTTCTACCAAGTGAGATAAATCCCACTTGATCATGGTCTATTATCTTTTCGATGTGCTGTTGGATTCAGTTTTCTGATATTTAGGTTGAGGATTTTCGCATCTGTGTTCATCAGGGATATCGCCTTGTAGTTTTCTTTTTTGGGGGGTGGGGGCTTTGGCTGGTTTTGGTATCAGGGTAATGCTGGCCTTGTAGGATGAGTTAGGGACAATTCCATTCTCTTCAATTTCTTGGAATAGTTTGAAGAGATTGGTGTTAATTCTTCTGTATAAGTTTGATAAAATTCGGCACTGTAGCCACCCAGTCCTGGGCATTTCTTTGTTGTGAGACTTTTTATTACTGATTCAATCTTGTTACTTGTTACTGGTCTGCTTAGGTTTTCTTTTTCTTTTCTTTTTTTGTTTTTTGTTTTTGTTTTTGTTTTTTTGTTGTTGTTTTTGAGACAGAATCTCTGTTGCCTGGGCTAGAGTGCAGTGACATCATCTTAGCTCACAGCAACCTCAAATTCCTGGGCTCAAGTGATCCTCTTGCCTAAGCCTCCCGAGTAGCTGGGACTACAGGCACACACCACCATGCCACACTAATTTTTTCTATTTTTAGTAGAGATGGGGTCTCGCTCTTGCTCAGGCTGGTCTTGAACTCCTGAGCTCAAGCGATCCTCCCACCTTGGC